CAGAAAATGAACAAAGATAAAATGTCAGTAGGATCAAAGTAGGTCATACTTTCCTTAGTTTTTGTCAATTTTATTGTCTCACAATAGCGGCAGGGCGGTTGCACCATAGTGAATTCAACCTTGTAGTGCCGCATCATTCTAACTTTCAACTCATGGAGTGTGATGACTTGTTACTGTACAGTCAGCATCTCTACTTGTTGTAAATGAGTGGAACCAGTATGAACTCCGAGGAAGAGGAGACTTCAAGATCCACGGAGTCGGTAGTCCATCATCATAGTAGCCGTACATCATGTTAACATGCCGGATCGCGCACGGGCCGGAGTTACTCAAGTTACTGTTAGACCGCGACTGCTGTATGTACAACTAACTTGAAAGACCAAGTACTTTCATCGGAGTCATGGCATGCTCACGAGAGTTCGAACCCGGCGTTAGCCGTGATGGCATAGAGGAGCTTGTCGCGGAGGTTGGAGGAGCTCGGGTAAAGAGGGAGCTTCAGGAGGTTCATGCAGGTGCTAGAGGTCGGAAGGCGATCCTCCGACTTGCCCGTCATGTAGTCCCAGAAGCCCTTGTCGGAGTGAACGCGATGGATGGTGAAGGGAGGCTGGAGGGAGGCAAAGCCAAGGAGGGGAGGGCGCGGGCAGGAGGTGACGAACTTGAGGAGAGCTGACTTTTCCTTGCTCGAGAACTGCGCCACGACCTTCCAGAACCTCCGGCAAGTGCTGTCGAGGGAGGTATATCCCCCAGAGTAGACCGTGTGAGCCTTGAGGTTCTCGACGTCGAACCCGCCGTCGTCTTCCCCGCTGATCAGCACCTGCAGCTCCACCGGGTTGAAGAACCTGATCCACTCCACGCGGATCACGTCCTGGAAGCCTCGCAGGAAGGCTTCGCACTGCCGCTTGATCTGCTTGTTGAGACGATAGTCGGCCACGAGGTGGATGTACTGGACCTTGTTGGAGGAGGTAACCTCGATGTTGGAGCCTCCTGGGACCAGCTCCTCCACCTCCCCTCCTCCCATCTCATCGATGGTGACTGTGAAGTCGAGGGAGAGGTCACGGACGTCCCCCTCGTAGTTCTTGAGGTACATGAGATTCTTGTGCAGGGCCGGGTCGAGCGACGGCAGCTCGTCGAGGTAGTTGTGCTTGCCCAGGAGCTTGGAGAGGAAGAAGCCGCAGGACGAGAGGTCCATCTGGATGCCATCGTACATGGCCCTCCCCAGCATCCTCCCCAGGAACGCGAAGTAGTCCAAGTGGGAGTGAATCATCATGTGGCTGTGGGGGTTAGGGAAGAGCTGCCTCTCAGCTGAGTACTTGAAGAGGCCGTAGTCAGGATGGAAGGCTCGCTCGATGAAATGGGTCAGAAACTCCTTGTACAGGCCCCCCATGTCGATGCCGGACTCGTCGAGCCCGCTCTCGTTGACGAAGAGGACTTTGACCACCCCCTTGAGCTCCTCCCTGAGGACTCCGAGCTTGTTGAAGCCGTCCTCCACTATCCTCTGCCTCCTGATCTTGACAAGGGAGGTCGGCCACTGCTGGCTCTTCTTCTCCTCTTCGATCAGCCGCTGGAAGATCTGGACTCTCTCTTTCAGCGGGATCAC